GCTTGTTTTCAAGCTTCAATGTGAAAAAGTACCTTTTCGACCTAGTTTTCAAACCGGAAGCCCCGCGCTAGTTCCGTAAGTTTCCAGAACTTACATTGGTTTCTTCCGAGGTGTTGGAGGTGTTCCACGGGCCTTCTCGGGACTATTGCAGGATTTTTTTGGCCCCCGATGCCCTATTTTCAAACTTAAGTGTTCAGGAAGTACATTTTTTGACTTAGTTTCCAAACCGGGAGTCCTATGCGAGTTCCGTAAGTTTCCACAACTCACATTAGTCCCTCCCTAGGTGTTTGAGGTGTACCCTGGATCTTCTTTTGACTGTCACACGATTTTGGCCTCCCGATAGACTATTTTCAAGCTTAGGTGCGAGAAAAGTGTCGTTTCAGACTTAGTTTTCAAACTGGGAGTCCCGTGCTAGTTCCGTAAATTTTCACAACTTACATCGGTCCCTCCCGGGGTGTTTGACATGTTCCCCAGGCCTTTTCGTGACTGTTACACGATTTTTGCCCCCAACGGCTTATTTTCGAGCTTAAGTGTGAAAAAAGTGCATTTTTTGATTTAGTTCTCAAACCCGGAGTCCCGTGCTAGTTCCGTAAGTCTCCGCAACTTACCTTGGACCCTCCCGAGATGTTTGGGGCATATCCCAGTCCTTCTCGTGACTGTTTCCCAGTTTTGGCCCCCCCGGTGTCCTCTTTCCAGGCTTAATTGTGGAAAAAGTGTCTCTTTCCAACTTAGTTTTCAGACCGGGAGTCCCCGTGCTAGTTCCGTATATTTTCACAACTCACGTTGGTCACTCCCGAGGTTTTTGAGGTGTTCCCGGCCCTTCTTGCGACTGTTCCTCATTTTTTTGGGCCCCCGATGGCCTACTTCCAAGCTTCAGTGTTAGAAAATTGTATTTTCCGATCTAGTTTACAAATCAGGAGTACCATGCCTGTTCTTTAAGTTTTCACAACTCAAATTGGTCCCTCCTAAGATGTTCGAGGTGTTCCCCGGGCCTTTTTGTGATTGTTACACAATTTCGGCCCGCCGAGGCCTATTTTCAAGCTTAAGTGTGAAAAAAGTACTTTTTCGACCTAGTTTTCAAACGAGAAGTCCCACGCTAGTTCCGTAAGTTTCCACAAGTTGCAATGGTTTCTGCCGAGGTGTTGGAGGTGTTCCACGAGCCTTCTCGGGACTGTTAGAGGATTTTTTGGCCCCCGATGGACTATTTTCAAACTTAAGTGTTTAGGAAGTGCATTTTTTGACATAGTTTCCAAACCGGGAGTCCCATGCGAGTTCCATAAGTTTCCACAACTCACGTTGGTCCCTCTCTGGGTGTTTGAGGTGTTCCCTGGATCTTCTTTTGACTGTCACACGATTTTGGCTCGCCGATGGACTATTTTCAAGCTTAGATGCGAGAAAAGTGCCGTTTCGGACCTAGTTTTCAAACCGGGAGTCCCGTGATAGTTCCGTAAGTTTTCACAACTTACATCGGTCCTTCCCGGGGTGTTTGACGTGTTCTTCGGGCCTTCTCGTGACTGTTACACGATTTTGGCCCCCGATGGCTTATTTTCGAGCTTAAGTGTGAAAAAAGTGCATTTTTTGATTTAGTTCTCAAACCCAGAGTCCCGTGCTAGTTCCGTAAGTCTCCGCAACTTACCTTAAACCCTCCCGAGGTGTTTGGGGCATTTCCCGGTCCTTCTCGTGACTGTTAACCGGTTTTGGCCCCCCCGGTGTCCAATTTCCAAGCTTAAGTGTGGAAAAAGTGTCTCTTTCCAACTTAGTTTTCAAATCGGGAGTCCCTGTGCTAGTTCCGGAAGTTTTCACAACTCGCGTTGGTCACTCCCGAGGTGTTTGAGGTATTCCGGGCCCTTCTTGCGACTGTTACATGATTTTGGCCCCCCGATGGCCTACTTCCAAACTTAAGTGTTAGAAAAGTGTGTTTTCCGTCCTAGTTTTCAAATCGAGAGTCTCGTGCCTGTTCGTTAAGTTTTCACAACTCAAATTGGTCCCTCCTGAGATGTTCGAAGTGTTTCCCGGGCCTTCTCGTGATTGTTAAATGATTTCGGCGCGCCGAGGCCTATTTCCAAGCTTAAGTGTGAAAAAAGTACCTTTTCCGACCTAATTTTCAAACCGTAAGTCCCACGCTACTTCCGTAAGTTTCCACAACTTACATTGGTTTCTTCCGAGGTGTTGTAGGTGTTCCACGGCCCTTCTCGGGACTGTTACAGGATTTTTTTGGACCTCGATGGCCTATTTTCAAACTTAAGTGTTTAGGAAGTGCATTTTTTGACTTAGCTTCCAAACCGGGAGTCCCATGCGAGTTCCGTAAGTTTTCACAACTCACGTTGGTCCCTCCCTAGGTGTTTGAGGTGTTCCCTGGACCTTCTCTTGACTGTCACACGATTTTGGCCTCCCGATGGACTATTTTCAAGCTTAGGTGCGAGAAAAGTGCCGTTTCGGACTTAGTTTTCAAACCGGAAGTCCTATGCTAGTTCCGTAAGTTTTCACAACTTACATCAATCCCCCCCGAGGCGTTTGACGTATTCCCTGGGCCTTTTCGTGTCTGTTACACGATTTTGGCCCCCGACGACTTATTTTCGAGCTTAAGTGTGAAAAAAGTGTATTTTTTTATTTAGTTCTCAAACCGAGAGTCTCGTGCTAGTTCCGTAAGTTTCCGCAACTTGTCTTGGACCCTCCCGAGGTGTTTGGGGCATTTCCCGGTTCTTCTCTTGACTGTTACCCGGTTTTGGCCCCCCCGATGTCCTATTTCCAAGCTTAAGTGTGGAAAAAATGTCTCTTTCCAACTTAGTTTTCAAACCGGGAGTCTCCGTGCTAGTTCCGTAAGTTTTCACAACTCGCGGTGGTCACTCTCGAAGTGTTCGAGGTGTTCCCGACCCTTCTTGCGATTGTTACATGATTTTGGCCCCCCGATGGCCTACTTCCAAGCTTAAGTGTTAGAAAAGTGTAATTTCCGTTCTAGTTTTCAAATCGGGAGCCCTGTGCCTGTTCATTAAGTTTTCACAACTCAAATTGGTCCCTCTTGAGATGTTCGAGGTGTTTCCTGGGCATTCTCGTGATTGTTACATGATTTCGGCCCGCCGAGGTTTATTTTCAAGCTTAAGTGTGAAAAAAGTACCTTTTCCGATCTAGTTTTCAAATCGGAAGTCCCGCGCTAGTTCTGTAAGTTTCCACAACTTACGCAAGTGTTTCACGGAATTGTTGGAGGTGTTCCACAGGCCTTCTCGGGACTGTTACATGATTTTTTTGGCCCCCGATGGCCTATTTTCAAACTTAAGTGTTTAGGAAGTGCATTTTTTGACTTTGTTTCCAAACCAGGAGTCCCATGCGAGTATTTGGGAGGCTTAGCTTGATTTAGGTTGGAGTTTTCTATTTATTCGGGAGGCTTTTCTAGGAACAAATGAAATTACAATGGGCTTCATTTGATTGAAGGGTTGATATCATGTCTTTAACAAATTAGGAGCAATTGAAATAGGTGCATGCCTCGGATGCACTTCGTTAATGTCATCTCACCTCAGGGATGGCAATGGATCGGGTTTTGAGTGTGATTTCTTGCTTTTAAACTTAATTAATTTAGTGATACAATTTTATACTTTACTATAAACCTGACAATTTTGACCTACCTACCGCTATAGTTTACACTACCATGGCACAAATACAATCGGGCCGAGGAATTTTGCCATCTCTCAGGTGCACCTTACTGCACTTTGTGCCTAAGTGCGTGCCTAAGCACGCTTTTGATGGCATTGGCTTAGATTTTACACACATTCCATAAAACATACGGTGTCAATGATTAAGGATGTGCAGTCTACTACCATGTTGTGTTCTTAGGTATTGTTTTTTTCAACATATAGGAATTAGTAGTATTTTTTGTCAATTTTGAATAGATTATTCCTGACGCATCTAGAGAAGGGAACCCAAACTTAGATTAGGTTATTGACCATTGACCAAAATAAAATAAAAAGATTAACTTATTGGTAAGTTTTAGCATGTTGCACAAGATTTATAAGAATGTCTAAACATGAGTGATGATAATGAAGTATTTATGTCACGATGGACATAATGCTCTTCAAAAATTTTGATAAATATCCTTGAATTTCTGTAAAACATGGGAATAGCTAACGTGGAATATGATTTCAATTTTTAAAACATTCATGAATAAATAATGCAAATAATATTAATTTTTCTAAATTATTTCCAACATCTCACCAATTTAACCTGCATGGATAGCCTAGTAGTCAAAGGAGTGAGATATAAACTCAGATGTTTTGGGTTCAACTCTTGCTGGCATCTAGACCCTGTCTTGGAGAGGTTCTTCATCATCCAAAAGGAAAAAAACCTCGCCAATTTTAAAATTTGGTATTGCTACTCAGCATCTTAGGTAGACGTCCTAATTAGATACCTCTTTAAGTTTCAGCTGAAAATTCTTGGAATTACTTTATGGATTTAATGGTAACTACTGAACCTCTTCAAATTACTCGTCTCATTAATTTAGAAATTCCAAATTTGTTTTGGTTTCAGCTCTCGCTGCTTCTTCTCTATTTCTTTCTCTCAACATCTTTTGCTTCCTTTGTCTCTCTCTTCTCTGCATATTCTTCTCTTTTCTGCATAGCTTAGCTTCGCTTCTTCTTCCTCTTCTTTACTGCTTTCTTCTTTTTCATCTTCCCAGCTGGTTTCTTCTTCCTCTCCTCAGCTGGTTTCTTCTTCCTCTCCTCTGTTGCTTTCTTTTTCTTCTTCTTCACTGATGTTGCTTCTATTCTCTGCTTCTTCTTTGAATCTATTATCTACTTCCCCGCGTCTGCTGCTACTTCTACTATTGCTGATCTGTCTGTTCTCTACTGTAGCTGTTGTTTTCTCTTCTCCCTAACTGTTGTTGGATCTTTCCTCTGTCACTGATGTTGCCTTCTCTCTTTCTTCTCTGCTGTTGCTGCTGATGATGATGATGATGAGGATTTCATCCGTGTCCAATTACTTAATTTGTTTACTCTTTGCTTGGTGCCACATTTGTGTTTTGATGGTGTTCCTGTGAGAAACCAGTTTACTTGTTTGGGAGTTTGGGCTGAATGTAGTAAAGTTCTCCATTTGAGTTATATCACTTGAAATTTTTTCTAACCAAAGTACCAAACTAAGCTAAATCCGAGAGTACATAGGAAGGAGAAACTTCGGAGCAATTTTTTGAAACGTAAACATCTCTTCAAACTCGAGATGGGTTTTCTTCGACAAGAGGGGTTTGATGTAATGTGGTCCCATAGGAAAAGATTGATTGCTGATTATTGGCGTTGGATAAGCTTATTGCTGTATGTCTGTTCCTTTGCTTTGATTCTCTGTTTTATGAACGTATTTCTACAACATCTACATAAACTTGGGATTGTACACAGGGATGTAAAACCAGCAAATATTCTTGTAAACGTCATCACCATTTTCTAATTTGTTTTGTTTTGTTTTGTTTCTGATCTTTTTGTGGGTAAGATTTTGTGTTTCCTATTCAAGTGGTTGAATAATGTGCTGCTGCCGCCTCTGTTTTTTTATTTGTTGGCAGCTTGATGAAAACCTTCGTCCACATCTGGCAGACTTTGGTTTAGCAGAATATAAGAAAGATCTTAAACAAGTTTCTATGGAGAACTAGAGATCATCTGGAAAGCCAACTGGTGGTTTCCATGAAAAGAATATGGTCGGCACACTCATATATGGCACCTGAAATATTGAGAAAGGAGATACATAATGAAAAGTCAGATGTATATAGTTTCGGTGTGACAATGAAGTAAGAGTTTGACATAAAATTAATGATTTTTCTATGCTCTCTGCCACTTTGAATAATAGCAAATCAAAATGTTGTTTTATCCTTTGTACCTGATGATGTTTTACGAGACGGACAAGAAGTTTTTTGAAATGCTATATGTTGATGACAAGTTAGTGATCGTAGAACCATGCTTTGATACTGAAATATATAGCCTGCACCTGTGCTTGTGGACTCTGGTAGCTCCAAAAGGTTTATTGAGTTTGCTCTACTAATTGTTGGCAGAAATTGAAGTCTTTAGTAGCTAGTACCTTGTCAGTTAACATTCTTGAGAAGTTGATGACAGATCCAATGATACATGTTGGACATTTCTTCATGTTAGATGCATGTCCAAATATGTCAATATTTTTTTAGATCCGGACACATTTTGGACACTCGGGGGACACGTGTGTCCATCACTTAGGAAAGGTGATAGGACTTTGTTAGTTAAATTAGTTATTGGACAAAATATAGTAAACGTTATTAGTGCTTACGCCCTCTAAGTAGGATTAGATGATCAGACTAAGAGAGATGATTAGATGATCAGACTAAGAGAGATTTTTTGGACCAAATAGATGAGGTATCACAACAACTAGGGAAGTTGGAGAAGATGTGGTTCATACAATTAAGGCACGGTGGCTTAAGTGGAGGAATGCGTAGTCTGCTAAAATTTTCTACACATACCTTGAAATTTCCTTTCTTCAACCTGCTGAGTGCAAAAACCACAGACAGCACACATAGACACATACAATTCTCTCTCTTTGTGGTTTGATCAAGTTAAGATATGGCTGACGAAACCCAGAAACCGGCGGCTCCGGAGACTTCGGTGCAAGTAACTGAGGAAGAAATGAAGGCCGAGGAGGCTGCTCCGGAGACCCCCGCTACTGAAGAACCCTCGAAACCCGAAGAAGTCCCTGCCGAGACTTCTGCTCCGGCGGAAGAAGTGGCGGCGCCACCCAAGGAAGTGGTTGTTGCTGTTGCTGAAGTAGTTGAGAAAGTCACCGCCGTCATCAACGACGATGGTGCCCAAACTGTTGAAGCCATCGAAGAAACAATCGTCGTTGATTGTGAGGGTGTTGACCTTTGTCGATATGGAACTCTTTGTATCATGCAGCTTGCTTTTCCAGATGCTATCTATTTGGTCGATGCTATTCGAGGTGGGAAAGTGCTGATGAATGCCTGTAAGCCTGCTCTTGAATCTAGTTACATTCACCTTCTCATCTTCTCATCTCTCCTCAACAAGCTCTCCGCGGTAGCAGCGGCTTGTCCACAGAGACGACCAGTCCTCCTGGCAGCAGTAAGACCAACCTTTTTCCCAGGTGGTACATCACGGCGAAACAGTGCTGGCATGACCAATATGTTGATGGTTACCACCACCATGGGGATGCTCCACGGGGTGTTTTGCTTTATGGTCCACCTAGTACAGGTAAAACCATGCTTGCTAAGGCTGTTGCTCATCACACGACAGCAGCCTTCATAAGAGTGGTTGGTTCTGCGTTTGTTCAGAAATACTTGGATGAGGGTCCTCGAATGGTTCGTAATATCTTTCGTCTTGCCAAAGAGAATGCGCCTGCAATTATTTTGATTGATGAGGTAGATGCCATTGCAACTGCTAGATTTGATGCACAAACTGAAGCAAAAGAGGCTTGTATGATTATGATAATAGGACAAGTGGGGGTGGCAGCTGGTGATCGATTTGTGTTCGTTTGATCTGATCCAATCCCTCACCCATCCTCTAAGCCGATCTACTTTTTCTTTTATTTATTTACTTTTATTTTTTCTGGTCTTTATCCCATATCCTCCTGTTCCTCACCCTCTATTTTTTTATTCTGTTTGTTCCCACCATGTCTCACCCATACCCCTTTTTATTTTTTTAAACCAATCTTCACCTCTGCACCCACTCATCCAAAACTCTATAATATATTCCACCGCCTGAACATCCTCCCCCCAAAAATATTCTCTGTTTTCTTTATCTATTTTATTTTTTTATTCTTATTATTATTATTAAACAAACCAAAACAAAAACAATCAAAAAAAAAAAAAAAAAACAAACACCTCACACTGATCTCCACTCAAGCACACCCACCATTTTGCCAACTTTCTATTCTTATTATTATTATTATTATACAAAACCAACACAACCCAACACCAACAGTCCACTTTTCACATCTTTATTTTTGCCACCTTTAATTTTTATTTTATTTTCTGTTTTTCCTTTCCATCATCGCTTGTTCCAACTTTCCACCCTCACATATTTTTTTTTATTTATTTATTTTTTATAATATATTATATCCCCCTACCATTTATTAGCCCACCGATTCCCACGCCTTCTGATATTTCAACTCTTTCTTTTATTTCCTTTCCCAAAAAAAAAAAAAAAAAAAAAAGAAGTAGACGAAGAACTGCACACCAAACTCATTTTATTCATGTCAGAGGCGATCACCATTTTCCACAAAACACAAAAAAACAAAAAAACAAACAAAAAAACAAACAAACAAACAAAAACAACCACACCCACAGCGGGATTTTTCTTATCTACTTTGCTGCTGGTCTCTTCTTCTTGCCTCTGTCCTGTGCGGCCCTTGATGGTGCTGCTTCTGTACTTCCTACTCCACCGAGCACGTTCACTCCCCCATACTCCTCCACTGCAGCATATGGCGGACCTCCAAATCGGAACATCACGGTGGCCTTCCGCTTCAGCTCCTTATTTTCCGCCTTTAGCACACTTATCTCTGCTCGCGCATCCTTATACATGCGTTGGAGCAGAGCCAGCTGGGCGTTTAACTGCTGCACCTCATTTGTCCTACTCTGCAGCCGGTTCGACAAATTTGTAACCGCAGTCATGGTTTCCACACATGACTTCAATGTATACTGATTGGCCTCCACATCCGACTGCACTGCCATTCTTTGCTCCACAGACCGCATAGGAAAGTTCAACGGAGCAAAACCAGAGGTGTTTGGTTGAGGTTCACGGGCCACCGCACCAGTTATCTCTCTTGTTGACTCGTTGAGGTTTCTCCAAATTTGCATTCTCGTTCAACCTTGGTTTAAATAGCCAGGGCAGATACGCGCATTTCGCGCCACTTGACGCCAGACGACAAAACGGGCGCGCAAGCGAAGGTAGTCACGCGCCTCGCCACTTTTGATGGCACGCCTTTTTATGGATTGGGCACGCCTTTTGATGGCACGCCTTTTGACAGATTGGGCACACCTTTTGAGGGTGCGACTTTTACATCGGTCCGACATGACCCCATAAACTGTCCTGACATTTAATTCCGATTAGCTTTTCCAACGGTCCAACATGATCACATAAAACTGTCCCGACATTGATTCCGGTTAGCATCTCCATCGGTTCGGTGTGACCTCGTCAACTGTCCAGACTTTATCTGCTTCAACGGTCTGCCACCACCATACAGTGTCCTCTACAACGTTATGACACCACCATACAGTGTCTTCACCAATAGTCTGACACGACCATACAGTGTCTCCTATCCTCTTTTATTTTTATGTATTAGTCTATTTTCTTGTTTTGTTACTCTCTCCAAACTCAAGTTGGTTAGTTCCTATCCCCCTTGAGTTTGCAGGGGGCTGTTAAAACCTACCATCACCTACTCCACCTACTACACCTACCACCACCTACTACACCTACTACATCTCCTATATCAAGAGCCCCTCACCATTTGTAATTTACAACATACATCAATCAATAATACATCAATTTTAACAAGTACCCACTAGATTAAAAGGAAGGTTCTATAGAATGACTACTAGAATAGCGATATTGTATGGGATGGAATGTTGGGCAACTAAAAAACAACATATAGATAAGATGAGTGTTGATGAGATTTCGAATGCCAAGGTAGATGTGTGGCAAGACTAGAAAAGACAGAGTTAGGAATGAGTATATTCGTGAGTGGGTAGGAGTTTATACCGATAGAAGATAAGCTGAGGGATAATAGATTAAGATGGTTTGGTCATATTTGTGAAGACTAACAGAGGCAGCAGTGAAAAGATGCAATAGAGTAACGGTAGAGGGAAGTGTTAGGGGAAGGGGAAAACCTAAATTGACGTGGGCTAGTATAGTAAATAGAGATATGAATCTCCTTAATTTGACTAACCAAATGGCTTTTGATAGACTCGAGTGGAGAAAAAGGATTCATGTAGTTGACCCTATTTGATGAGACTTAAGGCTTGGCTTGGTTTGGTTTGATTTGGTATTAATTAAAGTATTCATATACATGACATATAATAAATATATAAAACTATTTATTTTGCAAGTGTCCTTCACCTGTTGCATCTTGCATTTTTTGAAATTTGTTGTGCTAGCGTGTCCATGTCATGTCTCTATCGTGTCTCTTGTCCATGTCCATACTTCTTAGAGTGTCTAATAATGGATTAAACACTATTTTCTTGGGTTGACTATTTTCATGTCGTACTTGTCAAAAAGCAAATAGAATGATTGGTCATCTTGATCATTCATGAATGCCTTAATTCACTTTATCTAACAAATTTCATTTCGTGGCAATGTAATAACAAGAAGGGTATGCATGTACTTTATATTGTTAGATTCGGGGATAACATTTCAATGCTAGATAGTATGTATAGACCAGTCTTTTGCTTTGTTATCTAGGTAGCTTATTTCTCTTATCTAGGTAGTGGAGTGGTGGCGATAGTAGTAGTAATGGTAGTCGTAGAGGTGAAGTGGCGACAGTGGAAGTAGTGGTGGTGGTGGAATGGCGTTTGCAGTAGTGGTGAAGGTAGTAGAGGAGATGGGTGGTGAGAGAGAGAAATGAGAGAGAGAGAGAGAGACAGAGTGATGAGCGAGAGAGAGACAAAGTGGTCGCTAAAAGTGCATTTTCTTGTAGTGGATCGATAAATCGAGAGGGAGCTCAGTAAATAGAGAAGACGGGAGTGCTGTGAGCAACACAAACACAGTGGGAGAGAGAGAGAAAAAGAGAGAGAGATAGAGAGTGAGAGACAGAAAAGAGACATAGAGAAAAGAGAGATGGATGAGAGAGACAGAGAAAGATAGAGAGGAGAGATGAGCGAGAGACATAAAGAGAAGAGAGGAGAGATGAGAGAAGAGATAGATGAGTGAGACACAGAGAGAGAGAGTCAGATAGACAAACGGACAGACAGAGAAGAGTGATGAAGATGAAAAAGAGACATAAAGAGAAGAGAGATGAGTAAAGAGAAGAGAGGAGAGATGAGAGAAGAGATAGATGAGTGAGACACAGAGAGAGAGAGTCAGATAGACAAACGGACAGACAGAGAAGAGTGATGAAGATAAAAAAATGGATGAAAAGATATAGACAGAGAGAGAGAGAGAGAAAGAGCGAAAAGAGATAAACGAGAGAGAGACAGAGAGAGATGAGCGAGATAGCGAGAGAGATAAAGAGAAGAGAAAAGAAAGACAGAGAGAAGAGATTTAGCGAGAGAGAGACAGAGAGAGAAGAGAGATAGAGAGAGAAGAAAGATGGACGAGAGACACAGAGAAAGAGAGAGACAGACAGACAGACAGAGAAGAGTGATGAGTGAGAGAGAGAGAGAGAAGAGAGACAGAGACATAGAGAGAGAAAGAGACAGACAGAGAAAGAAGAGTGATGAGTGAGAGAGAAAGAGAGATAAAAGAGACAGAGACACAGAGAAAGAGAGAGACAGATAGACAGAGATGAGTGAGAGAGAGAGAGAGAAGAGAGACAGAGAGATAGAAAGATGAAAAAATGTGTGAAAAGAGAAATGTTCAAAAGAGTAAGACGACGTCGTTTTTATTTTTTTATTTTTTTTTGTAACAGAAAAATACCGTTGCATTTATTTAAACCATTTTATGACTATATATATATGAAGCCGTCTCAAAGCCACAATATATATATATATTTTTTTTTAATTTTTAATTTTTTTTGCAACGGTACGTATTACAATCGCAAAAAACTCTTCCGTTTTCTTTTTTTTTTTTCGACTGCAGCTGGTACCTTTTTTTTTTTGCGACAGCAATTTCTGTCGTCAGAAATACTCTTTTTTTTGCGACAGCAAGTTGTGCCGTCTCAAAAAGTCACATTTTTTGAGACGGCAAGTTTTGACTCGCTAAAATGAACCTATTAAATTCCACAAATAGGGTCTTGTACCATGTTAGAGTTGTGCCGGCTTTTGTGATTGATTTTTGTGAAAATAGAACTGCTCTTTAAAATGCCATTGTTAGTGAGCCCCTCTTTGATTCGCACCATTTTGAATTTTTTTTTTTTCTTTCTTTCTTTGTGTTTGAAGGCAGTTTGCAAGTATCTTTTATCTATGTCTTGGCTCTTTAATTATTATTTAAGAGCTTGTTTAGTACATGATGTACATGATGACTCTAGTTTTGAATGATTCACCATATTAGATGTCTCTATCTTTTGAAATGATCTTTGTTTAATTTGAAAGTGGTATTGCATTGCAGTTCTCTTTTTAGTTTGGTTTATACATTGTTTAACCCACATTACTTTCATATTCTGATCTGTTTTAGTGGCATTTGTTTCGTGTTTCTCTGGTACTTTAATTTTTTGGGAATCTTGAAACATTTATGTTTTTCATCTCAAAAGAATGATATGCTATGATTCTTTGAACGTTTTGGCTCATACTGATTTTGAATTTTGAAAAGAATTTTGAGTTTTGAAAAGAGTTTTAAGTTGTATTTTGAGTTTTAAATTTTTGAATTTTGAGTTGTATTTTGAAAATTTTCGAATTTATTTCTTTTAAATATTTAAAAACGTTTTAAGAAAAATTTATTTTTCATTTTAAATATTTTATTTCATTTTTGTAAAATTTTTAAATTCAAAACACAACTCCACACTCAAATCATAAGCAAACACATAACTCTAAACTCAATTCAAAAACTATTTTTAAAACTCATAACCAGACATATAACTCAAAACTCAATTCAAAAACTTTTTAATCAAAATATTTTTTTTTATTTTTATATTTTATTGAAAAATATTTTTTGTTATTTTTTGGGCAAATTACAAACACCCCTCGAGATTTGGTGAAAATATAGATTCCCCCTAAGGTTTGAGAAATTACAAATTGCCCCTTGAAGGTCAAATTTGCATAACAAATTAAGAGTAGAATATGTTACTGTTGAAAACTATAATGTAGTAGCAGAGATTTAGCTGTAAAACTCTCGTAGGAACAAGGAGACTAAGTTCAAAGATTAATTCAGATATAAAACATATGCAAAAAATGGTAAAAGGCTTTGTTTTGCTCAAAAAGAACTCTTAAAGCTAAATTTGTGAAGAACTGGAGCTTCTACTATGGAGATTTTCAAGAGAAAGAGCTTCCCCAATAAAGAAGAAGAAGAACCCCTTATTTATAGAGAAATAAGGCTTCTAAGATTTAGACAAATGTATAGACCAAT